AGACAGTTAAGAGAATGAAAAGATAGGCCACAGACTTGGAGAAAGTAGTTGTAAAACTCTTATCTGATAAAGGACTTGTATCTAAAATATTAGGTTGTGGGGAAAGTCATGACACATTTTTTCATAGAAACAAAAAATATGTCATGACTTTCCTGACAACGTAATATAAAGAGGGCCAGCTCCATGGCATAGCAGTAACTCACTGCTCAAGAGAAACAGAATCTCATGCAGTGAGTATGGTTCAAATACCCAGCCTGTTCAGCCTGAAACATGCTGGCCTAAGATCTTACAGGCTAGAGAACAGGAAAAAGCTAATTGTGGAGTGACCAGATGCTATGGAGGGTGCCCTCTCCCTTTCTCTCTCTCTCTCACGTGCACATACACATGCTCTATCATAAACAGAAAAAAAAAGAGAGAAGCCAGATCCCACATGTGACCGCAGTTAGAATCCCTGGCCCAGTCAGCCTGAAACATGCCAGACATGTATGCGAGTGCCCAAGATCTAATGGAGGAGAGGAATCACAGCATAACCGGATCCTATACAGGATGCTCATCTTTCTTTCTTTCTCTGTCTTCCCCTCTCTCTCACGCTTATATGCATCTACCATGAATAAAGACAAAAGAGTTATACTAAGAACTCTTAAAATTCAACAATTAGAAAGCAAACAACAGGAGTAAAATATCTGAACAGATACCTCACCAAAGAAGACACACAGATAGCAACTAAGAATGCAAAAAGAGGAACTAGCAGATGGCATAATGGTTATGTCACTGGACTCCCACATAGTTGACTGCGGTTCAAGTCCCAGACTTAGGTTTTAAAATTCACATCAGGCACAAGTGTGTGTGTGCCCAAAATCCCGAGAGAAGAATGGAGGAGGGATTGCAGCATGGGCATCCCCCGGTGGAGGGATGATTTCTCACTTTCTGTCACACCTATAGCAAAAATCTCTCTCTCAAAAAAAAAAAAAAAGTAAAAAGATGCTCAACATTATGTCATTAGGAAATTGCAAATTCAAACAATAAGATATAACTACATATCTATTAGAATGATTAAAATCTAAAAACTGACAATACCAAAAGCTGATGAGGATGTAGAGCAACAGAAATTTTCATTTGTTGCTGGTAGAAATGTAAAATGGTGAAAAAAATCTGGAAGACAGTTTAGCAGGTTTTTAAAGAATTATTTTATTTAATTTTATTCACTGCCATTATTTTATTTATTTATTTATTTATTTTTGGAGTTGACCAGAGAGAGACAAAGCAAGAGAAGGAAAGTGAGAAATCAAGTTGCCAGGTCCAAGACTCGAACCGCAGTCAGCCATGTGGGAGTCCAGCTGACTTAACCACCATGCCACCTGCTGGCCCCAGTTTGGCAGTATTTTTACAAAGCTAAACACAGTCTTACCTAGGACCCAGCCACTGTGCCCTCAGTTCTATTTACCCAACTGAGCTGAAAACTTAATGTCTGTATCAAGATATGCACATGAGGGAACCAGCAGTTAGCATAATGGCTGTGTCGCTGGACTCCCACGTAGTCGACCGCGGTTCGCATCCCGGACCCGGTGGCTTAAAACTCACGCTGGGCATGTGTGCGTGCGTGCCCAAGATCCCAAGAGGAGAATGGAGGAGAAGGGATTGTGGCGTGACCATCCCCTCTGGGGGGTGATTTCTCGCTTTCTGTCTCTATGTCTCTCTCTGTCTGTCTGGCGAGCGCACGCGCCCTATAGCAAAAACCTCTCAAAAAAAAAAAAGATATGCACATGAATATTCACAGCAGCTTTATTCCTAATCACCAAAAACTGGAAACAACCAAAATGTCCTTCAATAGGTAAATGAAGAAGCAAACTGTGGTACATCCATACCATGGAGTATTAGTCAGTAGTTTTAAAAAATGAATTACCAAACCATAAAAAGATATGGAGGAACCTTAAATGCAAATTGTTACATGAGGGCCAGCAGGTGGCCTGAAGGTTAAAGCACTGAATTCCCAGATAGCTGACCACAGTTCAAGTCCTGAACCTGGTGGCTTGAAAATCACACTGGATGTGTGTGTATGCATGCCCAAAATCCCAAGAGGAGAATGGAGAAGAAAGAACTGTGGCGTAGCCAACCCCCTGGGAGGTGATTTCTCACTTTTCCTCTTTCTGTCTCTCTCCAGCAATGGCACACACCCTGTGGTCAAAAAAAACTAAAAAAGAAGAAAGAAAGAAAGAAAGAAAAACCGAACAGTCTGAAAAGGCTATTAATACATCACACAGTTCAAGTTCCAGCTATATAACATTTTAGAAAAGGAGAAACTGGGCCAGGCAGTGGCATGGTAATTAAGGTGACTGGATCCCACATGGCTAGCTGCATGGCTCCAAGTCCCAGACCCAGGAGTTTGTGGAACATGTGTGCCCAAAATCCCAAAAGGAGAATAGAAGAGAAGGAATTGTAGCCTGGTCTCCTTCCTGGGAGGGTGGTTTCTCATGTCCCCATTCTCTCTCCAGTAAGCATATGTGCCCTGTAACAACTTCTTTTACTTTCTTTTTTTTTTTTTTTTTTCCTTTTTTGTTTTTTGCCATAGGGCACATGGGTTCACTGGAGACACACACACACAGAAAGAGAAACAAAGAGAGGCAGAGTGAGAAATCCTCCCCCCTCCAACCCAGCAC